CTACTAAGAATCCATGGAGAAAAAAAACAACACTTTAGTTAACACTTTAGTTTAAAAGTAGAAATCATTGTCAAACCAACAAGAAATCTCGATTAAAACTAGAATTAGTTTAAAAATAAAGATAAAAAACTTATCTCAAATCCTCCACCAAATTCTTAAAGTTTCTTTGAGTCTCTTCTCTTTTACAACACTCTTAACTCTCACAATAAAACTAAAAACAAAAAGGATAAAGTAAATTTGTGGTGCCTGAAAATCTCTCCAAAAGAACTTCTCAAAACTCCCTCTTTTCAAGCACACTTCTAGAGTTTCAACTTCCTTATTTTATAAATTTCTAAGAGGTGCCTTGGTAACTCTTCAAATGTGTCCAAATTTGATGTATCCAAATTTGATGTATTCTCAATTTATTCTCTAAAGGATGCTTTCATTCATAAGTCTTCTAATCATATTTTTGTTTATAGTGGTCATAACCACCCTCTTTAGCCAATATGAGGGTAAAATTTTATGACTGTTGACAGTCTTGTTAAATTTTAGCACTCTGTTGGATATCCTATTTAAGCCTCTGGTGCTTAAGCGCGGGGCCTCTGGCGCTTAGGCACGGCCTTTTTTATTTCACCAACACTTACGTGTCGGATCTGGCACTTAGGCGCAAAACTCTTTTGCACCATTTTTACATTTTTTCTCCAAATTTGATCCTTTTCACTCCTTTTAGCATTTTTCAGGCAACCTATGAATTAAAACTATGTACAGTGGTTGTGTGTCTAAGTGTCGTGTACAGTGCCCTGTTGACTTGGTATCCACTTTTGTGGCTCACACTGACTTGAAACAAAGCCTGACAACGTTTTTTCCATATCAAGGTTACAACGCCTGACATGGTACCCTGATTTTTTTAGGCCCCCACTAGTTTCAATCACGTAGATATCATTGCGAGAACTGATTTGGCTTTGGACATGTCATTAGCACCGTGGTTGTGTGTCTGATGTCACAGCTTTCCCGGGACATGATGGTAGCTCATGATGGCCATGCTGACTTGATATCCACAACATCAACAGTGTGGTGTTACCTCATTCCTTGTCACAGAGTCTAAGTTGAGCGCTTTCAGTCGCACACTCTGCCATCTTGGTTGACATGATATATGCCTTATCAGCAGTTTCTTGACGCCTCATGTTAGGTTGTATTTCTAAAGTTGACCTAGAGTGTTTTGTGTCGTGCATCATGCCATATTGACTAACATGACATCTATCACATTGTCAATGTCACAACTCCTTATTCTACACAACAACTCTAAAACACTTCTTTTCGTATAAAAGGAGCACCCTTGGGCTATCCCAAGGGTAGGATTTTTGAGAGCTAGACGTTTGAGGGTTGAAGTTGGGCATTATTTTTTGGAGTTTTTGGCTTGGCTTTTTCATTCTTCTGATCGTGAAGCTTTTTGCTTCCCTCCTTGGCAAATTATCCATATGCTAATGTTGTTATTTGTTGTGGCCATAGAAACTGATGAAGCAATCATCATAGTTTAAAAATCCAGACGTCTTCTAACAATTGCGTACGGGAGATTATCTTTCCTTGTGATTATCTTTCTAGAAGAAGCCCTAGATTTTATGTTAAAGGAACTACATTGGGTTGTTGTTAGGCAGAATCTAAGTTAGATCCCTATGTTTCCAATGCCATAGCCACATTTTTTTATTGCTCCTTTGAGAATAGGGCCATAGTTTGCCCCAGTTCGTGGAATCATCATTTGTGTGTCACGACATTATCCCATTTTTTGGTGTAAAATGAGGTTTCAATATTGTCTATCAGCATTTAGCCATCATTTTACCTTACAGATAGCTTTGGATCATATTTTCTACAATGGCATGAGGTCATCTAACCTAGTTTTGACCAAAACTTGGACCTTAAGGACATTTCATCATAATAATGCCAGGTCTATAAGACCTGATCGCAGTGTTATTCTCAGTGTCACAGCCCAAGTGAACTTTGCTTCCACTCGTGTTAGAGCCATGACACAAGTTCAGATGATGAGATGTTATTCCTCTTTCTGTTGTCCACTATTGTCTTTCCCGTTGATGAAAATACTACATCACAACCTTCTCCATTTGTTGTAAAATTGACCTTTCAACATTACAATGCTTGGATTAAATTGAGTTTTACATCATCCTTTCTTTGTGTGTCACATTATTGATGCACCATTTGTGTAGTGCAATGAATATGAAACACTTGTTGTTTAGTCGGGGTCAATTTCTTGTCTCGGACTGATCCTTATGTTTGCTCTTTAGGACTAGGATTGGCACATATTGGTTGTCTTGTCCATATGTTTGCTCATTAGGTTTACCCACATTCTAGGTTGAGGCTTTTGAATGTAACTTTTGCCTGAATTATGGGTAAGCTCATCTAAGGACTAATTTTATAATTAAACCTAACAACTTCAACTTAAATATTCAAAAACTAAATAAAAACTTGTAAATAGAGCTAAAATTTGCACAAACAATGTTGCACTCTCAACCTTATAAACATTATGCATAAAAAAATAATGAATTTGACATTAAATAAAAAATTGAATAGTAATTATTTTGTGATTCAGGAATAGCCCAAAAATATCACCATAGGCATATGTATAACCATATTACTTATATTTCTTGTCTTTCAGACACTCATACATTACATAAAAGAAATGGTTTACCCTGTCATAATCATCATCATATGGAAATGAGTTCTGCATTTATACTTCAATTAGCCTATGAACGGATCCACTAAGTTTTCATCATTAAGGACCTCACAACCTATTACACAACCTACTCTGATCACTCGACACTAAGAGTCAACAAAAAAATAATAAAAGTTTTTAATGTGGTGAGCTATAAAATATTTAAGTTTTAAATTATAAAAACATATTTACATTTTTCTTTTGACATTATACATACCAGACATACTTAGGTAGCTTGATTTTTGATCAAGTTGTACGACTTATTATTCCTAACAATTAACAACCTACCCTATCTTGCATTCATTGAGACCGGCTTAAATGATTTTCATTGTGATTTGGTGGTTTATATGCCAATCCCTTCCAAGTAGGGTTATAAGTCCATTGCATTTTTTTGTTTGTGATTTTTCTTTCACTAAGATTAAGGTTTTGAAGTTTCACTCCTTTTAGTTAACTTTGCCTTAACTTTAGGATTTTGAAGTTGATCTTCTAGTTAAGATGTAAGTCCTCACCCTCCTAGGCTTTCTCACGATCATATATCATGTGATTTACATCATAACTTTCTAATAAAATATCAGCATGAAACATCAAATAAATTTCTGTTAAAATCATTAAAACCAAACAATAGGATAGTTGATTTGTCGCTGAGTTTCTCAGTATCTTCAACATCTCCTACTCTTTCCTCTTTGGGTTCCTCTAATAATTGTTTAACTTTTCCTCTAATAATTTTTTAACTTTTGACCTTTTCCCATTTGGACATAATAATTGATTGTTGAAATTTAAACTTCAAATTTTGTTTAGGACAAAACCACATCCTTAATCAAGAGTTTCCTTAAGTTTTTTTAGTTTCTTGAGATGTAAATTTTGTAGGCTTACCTTTATAAGAAGTTTGGATCGCAGCTTTAATCTAAAACATATCTAGTCTTTGGATTAGATAGGAGAAGATTTGTAGGCTTTTACCGTTGACTAATGCAAATATTCAATATTTCTTAATTTAAATAATTAAACCCATCATAAAGTGGTATATCTCTATCTTGAGATAGAATATTACTTTTGATATCGAGTTTGATTATTTAAATAATAAAATCTTCAAATTTGTATTATTCTATAAAGGCACTCCCTGCAACGTATCGAGAAATATAAGAGACATTTTTTTTGTAAAATTCTTCATTTAACCCTAAACTCATGATATTATTGAAGTTTAACTTCAAATTACTAGAAGTCTTATCATTGTCATAACAAATCCATCTCACTTGTCTGGTAATGATGACGAAATTAATAATTCAGTGATCTCATCATCAAATTTGATATCCACGTAGCATAATTGGCTAGTCATATTATTGAAGTTATTCAGGTGTTCAGCCACCGAACTGCCTCCACCATCTTCATATTGAATAATCTCTTCATCAAAAAAATATTATTTGAAGTGGAAGGTTTATGATACATTATCAGTGTCGGCATGAGAATCTTTGTGGCTTTTTCATTTCCTAAATTGAACACAGGAAATGAAAAAAGTAAAAGATAGATCAAACCTAGGTTCGTTCAATTTAGCACTTTCCATTCTTCAAGTCATTGTCTCAAGCTTCTTGGTGATTCCTTATAGTGACAAATATATATATATTTTTTATCAAGCAAATCTTCTACTTGCATTTTCCAGAACTTAAAGTTTGATCCATTGATTTTAGAGATCTGAAAAGATAATTAACAAAAAATGCACTACCAAGAAATTCTAAAAAATAGCGCACAAAGATTTAACATGAAAAAACATGAGAATGGGGAAAAAATATGGAGTCACACCACACCAAAGAATTCACTTTTTTTTAAAAAAGTACATATTACACCACTCAATTTTTTCTCTCTACCGCATTGGAACTTATAAAATACTGCTCCAAATTCTCTCTTATTCTCACATGAGAAATTGCATGTTCTGAAATCCACCTCATGAATTTCACCACTCACTTCACACCAAAGCCTTTGAGAATTCATTGTGTGTAGGTATCGAGAAAGGCTACTTTGAATTGATAACTTAAAAATCAAAATAGAAGAAACTATCTGGGTGGCGGCTTAAAGCCATAACTTTGAAAACACGCACAAGCACCCTAACGTCACACTAACAAACGATCAAATATTATGGTTCATATTCTAAACTTAACCGAGAGAGAGAAAGAGAGAGAACACAACATTCAAATATTACATACATGCGTATATCTATATATTCTCATCAAAATTCAATCTTTAGCAAACAAAACAAAACAAATATATGCACCTCTCGCTTCTCTCAATATTTCTAATTACGATGCAGGGCCTTGAACAGATATCTCTAGAGCGGGTATTTTGTTGCTTCGATGAGAATGGTGATGGAAGGATCTCTTCACCTGAGCTTAGGCCATGTATGAGTGTCGTCGGCTATGAACTATCCTTAGATGAAGCGAGGGTCATGATAGATTCAATGGATGCTAATGGAGATGGGTTGTTGAGTTTAGAGGAGTTCATGAAGTTGATAGAGAGGGAAGAAGAAGATGTCCGAATGATGATAGAAGCCTTTAAGATGTATCAGATGGACAGTCAAAGCTGCATTACTGCCAAGAGCCTGAAGAGAATGCTAAGTAGATTAGGCTATTCTAGGAATATGGAGATTTTCTAGGAGGTGATTAGTAAATTTGACATTAATGGAGATGGTGTGCTTAGTTTTGATGAGTTCAATGTTATGATGATGGCTTAGAGTTTATTTGCATTGTTTTTAAAAAAATTCAATTATATATGAATTATTTTTTTTATTTTACTTGTTAGTTTAATTTTTGTTGTGTACCATTTACTTTAAAAAAATATTATTTAAATTTACTGGTAATGGTTATATTATTAATCCACTCAAGATTTGTACTTGTGAGATTATTTATAGATTGGATATGAATATTAAAATTGTTATAAGAATGCCTACAATTTTTATTCTCGTTTCACTTAAGGAAGCTTATCTAGTGCTCAATCTCTTACATATGAAGTCTTACATATTAGGTCATAACAAAGATTTCGATATCAATATTGGCAATCTTTATGAGTCACTTACAGCTTAAAAATAAAATATTTTTAGAATCAAGTGTAATCTCTTTAATGTCTTCCTTTGATTTACTAAATTATTTTTCTAATCAATTCATAGATTCACTATGTGAAATAGAGATAATAAATATGTATGCATCAAAATATGAACAAGATGTTGATTAAACATAATAAACAACTCCTAGTGATTATTTGTTGGTTGTGAAGGCCCCTCAAGAAGATAAAAGTTTTACTAATATGTATGCTATTCAATGATCTCCTTCATCTACAATTTCCTAAAATATCATAGCTTTCAAAGCTCCGTATTATTCCTTCATTTGTAACTTGATTATATCTTACATAGCGCTTTTATTATTATGCTATTTATATAACCTTTAACGACGAGGCTCTAAAGTAGCACACCATTAACAATCATATGACATACATTCTAGATAAGGATGTCTACTATGAAGAAAATAGTAAAGCGACTAAACCTCGTAAATTCATTTATGTTGACATTTATGCTACTTGTTAAAAATCTAGGTAGCCATTACCTAAGAATATATTTGTCAAGAAAGTCCCAAAAGATAATCTCAGTGATCAACATTGATATCATTTGATATAAAAATCTTCTAAGTTACCACCAATCATTCATAGAGAATTTCGTTACATGTACCTTTAGAGAATCATTTGATAAAAAAGCTACAACTAACATTACATCATAGTGTCATTGTTTATTCCTACTAAAGAGTTTGTGGTCAACCGACATTTCTGAAACAACAATCTATTACTATGGCTTTCAACTATGACATATACGCCAAGCTAACACTACACTCATTTACGAAATTTCTGGTAGCTATTTCCTCACTAAGAATCGACTTCAACCATTACATCCCGCTATCACCAAAAACTGCATTCATTATGCCCTAGTAATTTTCAATAAATTATTACTATACATTTACAAAGATCAACTTTGTAACTCAATATTCTCTATTTCAAATTAAGAGTGAACATATATGCTCATAATTAATGGTGGATTATTTTAACTGAGATAAACTCGTGGTTTTTCCACTTTCCAGAATTTTTCACATAAAAATTGAGATGTCTCTTCCTGGTTACTTCTCTTTAATTATCTGAGCGTGTACTAGGTTTTCAGCAACACTAAGATAATTCATTACCCTACAACCGCCATCCTTCTAAGGGCCAGTTTGGGGCAGCTTAAAAGTGCTGGCAGTATTTTCAAAACGCCGCCTTGCCGTTTGGATCGCACGTACCAACTGTGTATTTAAAAACAGGGTTTTCATTTTACGAAGGACGCGAGCCGTGGCCTCATGCCTGCGGTCGGCGTTTTGGTCGCGTATGAAGGCTGTGTATTACTCTACTGCCCTCGCGGAAGAAGCCGCTCCTCGCTGCCCTCGAGGAAGATGCCCCTCACGGAAGAAGCCGCGCCCTCATCTCGATTCGCTCCGCTGCTCCCTCATCGCGATTCGCTCCGCTGCTCCCTCATCGCGATTCGCTTTGCTGCCCTCGCGGAAGAAGTCGCTCCCTCATCGCAATTCGAAAGCTCTGCCCTAGCCGCTCCCCCTTTTTCGTCATTCCTTCACTTCGCGGTCGAAAGCTATGCCCTAGCCTCTCCCTCTCTCTCTTCATCGGCGAAGGACACAGAGAAAATAGGTTTGTGTGAAGGAGCGAAGAGAGGAATATCGCAATCAGGGAGCACGAGCGAGCTTCGATCCACGTAGAAGTTTCGAAGAAGATCAGAGCATGGTGGAAGATGGTCGTAGGAGTTGGTGCAGATTTTGATTCAAGTTGAGATTTTGATGAACCGGGAATGAGATTAGTTTGGATTAATATTGAGCTCCGAGAATCATATTTTTTTAATTGGAAGGAGAAGTTGCAGCTCATGGATGCAATTTTCTCACCTTGAATGTTGAATGGGAAGAGAAGAAGTGTACATTTTTAATTCGTAATGTATTTACATTTATACTAGATAAATTTTATATTTTATATTTATAACACTCAAATCTTTCATACAACATAAAAAATATCACTCTTTCTAATGCACAGATAATGTGTTATAAGTGTACAAATCAAAGTTTGAATATTAGATATGCAATTACATCAGAATTGTGCAGCATGCATATAAATCTATCTAAAGCTAATAGCATTAATTTTTTTTTTATTTATAAATATATGTTTATATCAAACTTCAATTTTTACATATTTGCCGCCTTACCAATACATATGAAAGGCTTGTCTGGAATAAATGTAAAAATTAAAATTTGTATTGATGTGTTAATATAATACATAGGAATTGGTTGGTATGAACGTAATTGCTTCCGTTTCTATGATATTCCAGTCAGATAGGTTTGCTCGAGATTCTGGGGTGTCAGAACCGGGCAATATCCGTCGTGATATGTTTTTACATTTTAAAGTCAATATTGTTAATTTTTTTCTTTGTAATTTTAACATGTTATTTTTTCTCTTTTTTTTGTTTCATTATAATTCATATCAGTATCTGAAAGTGTATTTTACATTTATATATGTAACTATGTTTTTTTATGTCATCGGAAATATTTGAGTAACTCAACTCTTTTGTATTTTCATGTATTAACATTTGAACTTTAATTTTACAAACTTGTCACATTCCATATAAAAATTTTTTGGTGGTCTGTATGTATCGAATGCGTCTGAAGAGGGTTATATGGTTCTAAAACATTGTCATTTTGTTGAGAAAACGACAAATTCTGCATCACAGATTATTCATTAAACTAAAAAAATCTGTAAATAAGCTGTTTATAAAACACACAAACAACCAACCAGCTTATCCGAATCAGCTGCTCATCAACAGTTTATTAGGATACGCTGCTTATCAGCATAATCTGAATAAGTTGCAGCTGCACAAACATAAACAGACCTTAACACTCATCAGTTGTAGAAGAATAAATCTAATACCAATAACATTTCATTCTTAAATTATTTTGAATGACTAAACTTTAAATTAGTTAAGAGTAATCGGTAATGTGAAAAAATATTTATAAAATTATTAGATAAAATTTTTATTAATCGTATTTTAGTTATAATTATTAAAATATTGGCTAACATTTGTTCTGATGAACGCGTTCACTGTTAAATTTAAATATATTTAGCAATATTTTAAAATTTCATTCCGTACATATTAATCATTTCTCAACAAAATTATGAATGTTATGTAAAATTAACCATTCAACAAATGTATTTGAGTTAAATGAAAATTATCTATTGTTTATAATCCAATATTATAAACAAATATGAGCATGATATTTAAATATATAAACCTCTAGTAAGAGATACGGCAGCCAATAACCATACGGTCAGCCAATTTAAGAGTAAATTGTGACCGATTTTTATATTATTAAGACGATTGCATAGCCAAATCTGCCGGCTTGAAGGCCTGACCTTGAAAACACGCACAAGCACCATAACATACTTCACTTTAACGTACGGTCAAATATTACAGTCTATATTCTAAATTTAACCGACAAAAGAGAGACAAAACTCAACATTTAAAGACAACATAGACGCATATATCTATATATTACCATCAAAATTCTATCATTAGAGCATCAGAAACAACAAAGCAAAAGCCTGCATCTCTCGCTTCTCTTTCAATTCTTCTGATCTAGCAGAAAACAACAAATTATTTTCTATTTACATTGATGCAGAGCCTTAACCAGATATCTCTAGAACGGGTGTTTTGTTGCTTCGATGAGAATGGCGATGGAAGGATATCATCAACTGAGCTTAGGTCATGTATGAGCGTCGTCGGCTATGAACTATCCTTAGACGAGGCGAGGGCAATGATAGATTCAATGGATGCTAATGGAGATGGACAGTTGAGTTTAGATGAGTTCATTAAGTTGATAGAGAGGGAAGAAGAAGATGACAGAATGATGATAGAAGCCTTTAAGATGTATCAGATGGACAGTCAAGATTGCATTACAGCCAAGAGCCTGAAGAGAATGCTAAGCAGGTTAGGCTATTCTAGGAATATGGAAATTTGCGAGGAGGTGATTAGTAAATTTGACATAAATGGGGATGGTGTGCTTAGTTTTGATGAGTTCAAGGTTATGATGATGGCTTAGAGTTTATTCACAGTCTTTTTAAAAATTTTCAATTATATTTGTATTTTTTTTTTACTTGTTAGTTTAATTTTTGTTGTGTACCATTTACTTTAAGAAAATGTGATTTAAAATTACCGCTAAATGTTATTGTATTAGTTCACACAAGGTTTGTGCTTGTGAGATTATTTATCGATTGGATATGTAAAAGGAATGACAATTGTATTTATTCTCTTTTCACTTAATGAAACATATTTAGTGTCTTTAATTATTATTTATCACGTCATAAAAAAGATTTTGATATCAACATTGATCATCTTTACGAGTCACTTATAGCTTAAAAATAATATATTTTTAGAAACAAGAGTAATCTCTTTAATGTTTTCCTTTCATTTTCTAGATTGTTTTTCTAATGAGTTCTAGAATTAACTATGTGAAACAGAGACAATAAATAGATATCTATCAAACTGTGAACAAGATGATGATTAAACATAATAAAAAACTCCTAGTGATTGTTTGTTGGTTGTGAAGGTCCCTCAAAAAGATAAAAGTTCTATTAATCTCTACCGATGGGGCTCTAAAACAAACAGAAGTCATTGTAGAAGTTTATGCAACTTGTTAATAATCTATGTAGCCATTACCTAAGACAATATTTGTTAAAAGTATCCAAAAGGATAATTCAAAGCTCAACATTGATACCCTTTGATATAAAAATCTTCAGAGTTATCACCAATTATTCATAGAGATTTTCTTTACATGTATCCTTAGAGGATCATTTGACAAAAAAACTCCAACTGACATTACATTATAGTGTCATTGTTTATTCATATCGATCAAGGAAACTTTCACTTCCAAATTTATATTCTACTTGTTTACACGCTAATCTGATTATGTCACACAATTTTATGATAAGATACGTACATATTAGCGTCAGAGAAATCCAAGCAGACACCAAGTTGAGTAGGATAGCTACAAGGAACTATTGTTGCGATACTTAACTGATAATGAAGTGCAGTAAGCCCAAAACACAATGGCCACTGAAGAAAATATGGTTATAAGCAATCACTTAACTTTTTATTAAACAGAAATGAACAAAAAAAATAAAAACAAAGACCTTCATTTCATTTTTATAAATTTACTGCAAAATAGATGCTAACAAATAATTCTTATCCTCTTCGATAATTTAGTTTCATACAAATACAATGCACATCTCATATCTAATCTTTCAAATTTACGCACATAGAACATAAATCTTTAATATCACAAAAACATAACACCAATTTACCTTTTTAGTGAAGTGAAAAACAACGTTTATTTAAAACGCCAAAATGTTCTAAGTGGTTAATAGGTCACGAAGTTCCCGACTTCGGCCCATATGACCTATAAAATCATCACAGCTCAGCACTATGATCAACGTGATTCACAGCTTGTGCAGCTTCCGACACCAACCCTACGACCTATGGAAATCATCATAACTTATCTCTACGGCCTACCCGACTAGCTACAACCTACCTAGTTCACAAGTCGTGTAGCTTCCAGCTCTATCTTTTATGACCTATGTTTGTCATCGTTGCTTACCACTGCGGTCTACATGACTAGTTACGACCTACATGGTTCATAGCTCGTGCAGTTTCCAACTCTAGTCCTTTTGGCCCACAGAAGTCATTGTAGCTCACCACTATGGCCTACATGGCCAACTATGGACTACGTGGCTCACAGTTCATGCAACTCCCGACTCTAGCCACTACGACCTACAAACGACATCACATCTCGCCATTATAGCTTATGTGACCAACTATGACATACATGGCTCATAGGTCGTGCAGCACTCGACTCCAGCTTCTGTGGCTAGTGAACGTCATCACATCTTGCCACTATTGCCTATGTGACCAACATCGACTTACATGACTCACAACTCGTGCATCTCTCGACTCCAGCCCCCGCAGCCTACGAGCATCGCAACTCACCATTATGACCTATATGACCACATATGACCTATGTGGCTCATAACTCACGCAGCTCCCGATTTCGGCGCTTGCGGCTTACAAACGTCATCACAACTCACCAATATGACCTATGCGGCTCACAGCTCATGCTGCTCTCGACTCTAGCCCCTGTAGCCTTCGGACATCATCACAACTCACTCTTACTTCCTACATGGCTCATAGCTCCTGTAACTTCTTGTTATGGCGTCTGTGGCCAACCGATGTTCTTGAAGCAACCATCTGCTACTATGACATATATGTCAAGCTAACACTACAACCATCTATAACATTTCTGGTAGAATATTGGCTCCGTAAGAATGGACTCCAACCCTTACAGTCTGCTATCACCGAGAACTACATTCATTATGGCTAGACTGTAGCTATTATCAATAAACTATTAGTGTACATTTACAATGATTAATTTTGTAACTTCATATTCCCTAATTCAAGTGAAAAGTGAACATGCGCACTCATAATTCATGGTGGATTATTTCAACTAAAATAAACCTCGTGGTTTTTTCACTTTCGAGAGTTTTATTTGTAAAAGTTGAGATGTCTCTCCCTGCTTACTTCTCATTAATTATCTGAGTATGTGCTAGATTTTCAGCAATACTACGAAGTTAATCATTACTATACCACCGCAGACTTCCAACAAACATTAGGTATAGAAGACTAAAGCTAATTCTTATAACCTTTCATTCTTAAAATATTTTGAATGACAAAACTTTCAATTAGTTATAAGTAATCGGTAATGTTAGAAAAATATTTATAAAGTATTAGAAAAAAAAAATTATAAATCGTATTTTTGTTATAATTATTAAAATATTGGCTACCATTTGTTCTGATGAACGCGTTCGCTGTTAAATTTAAATATTTAGCAATATTTTAAATTTTCATTCCGTACATATTAACCGTATCTCAACAAAATTATGAAAGATCTGTAAAATTAACCATTCAACAATTGTATTTGAGTGAAATGGAAATTATCTATTCTTTATAATCCAATTTTGTATAGAATTATGAGCATAATTTTAAATATATAAGCCTCTCGTAAGGTATACACTAGCCAATAACTCTTCGGTCAGTCGATTTAAGAACAAAATGTAATCGATTTTTATATTCTTAAGACGTTAGCATAGCCAAATTTGCCGGCTTGAAGGCCTAACTTTGAAAACACGCACAAACACCATTACGTACATCACACTACGGGACGGTCAAATATTACAGTCCATATTCTAAATTTAACCGAGAAAGAGAGACAAAACACAACATTTAAATACAACATAGATGCATATATCTACATATTACCATCAAAATCCTGTCTTTAGAGCATCAAAAACAACAAAACAAAAACCTGCATCTCTCGCTTCTCTTTCAATTCTTCTGATCTAGCATAAAACCACAAACTATTTTATATTTACAATAATGCAGAGCCTTAACCAGATATCTCTAGAGCGGGTGTTTTGCTGCTTCGATGAGAATGGTGATGGAAAGATCTCATCAACTGAGCTTAGGTCATGTATGAGTGTCGTCGGCCATGAACTATCCTTAGACGAAGCGAGGGCCATGATAGATTCAATGGATGCTAATGGAGATGGACTGTTGAGTTTAGATGAGTTCATTAAGTTGATAGAGAGGGAAGAAGAAGATGACAGAATGATGATAGAAGCCTTTAAGATGTATCAGATGGACAGTCAAAATTGCATTACAGCCAAGAGCCTGAAGAGAATGCTAAGCAGGTTAGGCTATTCTAGGAATATGGAAATTTGCGAGGAGGTGATTAGTAAATTTGACATAAATGGGGATGGTGTGCTTAGTTTTGATGAGTTCAAGGTTATGATGATGGCTTAAAGTTTATTCACGGTCTTTTTAAAAATTTTCAATTATATTTGTATTTTTTTTTTTACTTGTTAGTTTAATTTTTGTTGTGTACCATTTACTTTAAGAAAATGTGATTTAAAATTACTGGCAAATGTTTTAGTATTAATCCACTCAAGGTTTGAGCTTTTGACATTAATTATAAATTGGACATGAGACTTGTGATTGTTAGAAAAAATGGCAATAGTTTTTATTCTCTTTTCACTTATTTAGAGCACAATCTCTCAAGTATAAAGTTTTTGATTATTATCTATCAGGTCATTAAAAATATTTTGATATCAATATTGACAATCTTTACGAGCTTCTTATAGCTTAAATTTAATTTTTTTTAGAATCAAGAGTGATTTCTTTAATTTCTTCATTTGATTTTATAAATTATTTTTCAAATCAATTCATGGATTTACTATGTGAAGCAAAGATAATAAATATATATATGCATCAAAATATGAACTAGATGATGACTAAATATGATAAATAATTCCTAGTCATTGTTTGTTGGTTGTGAAGGCCCTTCAAATAGATAAAAGTTTCATTAATCTCTATGCTATGCATTGATCTCCTTCATCTACCATTTCCTAAAATGCCACAGCTTTCAAAGCTTTTTTTTATTCCTTCATTAGTTAACTTGATTATATCTTACATTAGTGCTTTTATTATTACATTATTTATTTAACCTTAACGATGAGGTTCTGAAGTATCATGCCAATAACATTCATAAGTCATACATTCAAGATAAGGATGTGTACTTTGAAGAAAATAGTAAGGCCACTAAGCCTCATAAATTCATTTATGTAGACATTTATGCTTCTTGTTAAAAATCTATGCAGCCATTGCCTAAGACTATATTTGTTACAAAAAAAGCCCAAAAAGAGTGATCAACATTAATATCCTTCGATATAAAAATCTTCTGAGTTACCACCAATCATTCATAGAGAATTTCGTTACATGTACCTTTAGAGAATCATACAATAACTGACATCACATTGTAGTGTCATTGTTTCTTCAAATAAATCATGGAAACTTTCACTTCCACATCTATATTCTGCTTGTTTACATGCTAATCTGATTATGGTCTACCACTTTGTGATTAGAAACGTACATACTAGCTTTAGAGAAATCCAAACGAACACGAAGCTGAGCAGGATAGCTATAAGAACCTAT